ATTTGGAAAAAAATTACTTCAATACTCTGCTATATTGCCCCGTGGATTTGGAACTAAATTATATTTCCCTATGGATTCAGGGAAGCTAGATTTGACCACCGGATTTGACATATAACCCCGTGGATTTGGGGAAACATGATTTGGCTACTAAACTATTGGTAAAATATATCAATTACAGCTATTAGTGTTTATAAAATATAAAGATAAGCACTTTGTAAGCTATAAAACTGAACTAGCATTTAGGAATATATATATCTGTGCTGTAATAGGCTGTTTGAACACTTGTATAACTCTTAGTTCTAAATTAAATGTACAAATATGTCATAATGTTAAATATGTACTTCTGGAAATGCTGCAACTCTGTGGTTAAAAGAAAAAGGGGGAATTTTAGGGGGTCACAGAATGGGTAAATGAAGGTGATATAGAATGGAATCATATCCTCCAATGGGCTGCAGCTGGACTCTATTACTAAAGATCAGGAGCAGGCTGGATGATAACAGGCAACACCTGTAGCCAATATGAACAAGTGGTATAAAAGAGTGGATTGGTGGGAACTGGAGTCAGATGGCTGCTGCAAGGATCAGGAACAGTCAATGCTTAGAGGAGATGCCTGCAAGAAACCTTGAGGAGACAACACTGTGGGGTCACTGCTCAGAGAGAACAAAACATCCCAGAGTGGTTCCAACACAAATTCTCTTTCCCACACAAATCCCACAGCAGCTCCTGGTTTATTTTTTTAATTTAAAAAAAAAATTAACTGTGCCCATCCCAATGCAGCAGAAATGTTATCCTCAGGACACAAGTTTTACAAGGAATAACACCCTAATTAAAAAATCTTTCAGGTTTTTCTTTCATCCTCCAGGTAAATTCAAATTATTTCTTCCTTTGAGGGATCTCCAGCAGCCTTAAAAACCAAAGGCTGCTGATTTTTCTTTCTCTGCCCCTGAAGCACCAGGTGCAGGTTTTAAAACCTCTTTTAAATTTGTGGTTTCTGCTCCATTCTCCTGGGTGTAATTCTGCTGGATTTCCATCCTGAAGGAGCAGCAAACGCAGCTGTTCCTCCCTCACAACCAGCTCAGCCCTCAGCAGATGTTTGCTTTGTGATAGATCTGTGGCTCCTTCCATGCAGACATTGCAGATGACTCCAAAAATTCATTAATTTTTTTACCTGGTATTTCAAATTCCAGCTCAAACTGTTACTCCCATTTCACAGATAAAGCTCTTGTCTATAAGGACATCCCTGGTTCATGTCCCTTTCTGTTTTCTAGAGCTCTAAATTTTAATTTAAATCAATTTCTCACAGGGTAAAACCCATTTTTGGTGCTACCCATCATGGTGTGCATCATTAAAACTGAATTTTCTTGAATATATTCAGCCAGTTAAAGCCTTTTCCATAGGAAGGAGGGGGATTTATGGATGCTGAGCTCTGGGTTTGGCCACTCCTTTCAATCCAGAATTTCTGGGCATTCCTCAAGAATTTTATACAAATTTACATCAAATTCCCACATCCCTCATATATGTTTATATGCTTTTTCAGGGATCACTAGCAGTGTACAGAGAGGAGAAAACACTTCCTGCTTGGATATTTAGGAAAATAAAGCCTCACTTGTAGTGGGTTTACACTCCAGTTTAGTGACGATAAAGCAGGAGCTGCTGGATGTCACCAGAGACATTCTGCATGACCAGCAGTGAGATTTGAAAAGCAAATTTTGGGGGCAATTGTAAATTCTGCTCTGAATAAATGAACAGGAAGAAAATCCTGTCAATATGTTGAAAAAAACTTAAAGGTGAGGGAACCTAAAGTGATTGAGGAGCAGTCTCAGGAATCACTGAAAATTGGGTGGCAGAGCTTGAGTCAGTGCAAGGCCAGAACAGGAAGAGCAGGAGAGGGAGCTGGGAGCAGATTTTTCATAGATTGAAAGCAAAGGTGGTGATTTTTTTTTTTTCCCCCCCAAAAATGAGTCATTCCTAAGCTGGTGAGTTCTGTAACAGCCACAGGGTGATCAAGCTGCAGTTAAATATAGCCCCAGCTCTGAGAGCTGCTCTTACAGGTCACAGAGCCCAGAAATGGCCCAAATGCCACATAAAAAATCCAAATGAGCATCCAGAAGTGGGGAAAGTTGAGATGTTCCAGTCCTGAGGCAGGAAAGTTTTCTGCCTTCCCTAAACAGAGGCAATTTCAATTGCTCCTGGTTCTCCCACATTAAATTCAGCGCTGATCTCAATTAATTTCACAGAATAAATGTCAGGAGAGTCTCCTGGGACCAACTGACTCCTGAGTAACTTCCTTGTATCTCTGGGCCATTTTTGGGGCTTGCATGATCATATTTACTCAGCAGGAAATCCCTCATTCTCCAGGTATGTGTCTAATTGAATTTTAGCTTTTTCCTTTTCTTTTGAAAGCCTTAGTGATTTGGGGGGGGGGGGTATATTAAATAAAATTAAACTTAAAAAAATCCCCAAGAGAGTTTTTGGAGAAGCTTTATGATTTGGCAATGCTGTTGAATCCATCAATATTTAATTAGACTTTATAAACATCCCCAAAGTCAGGTTTCTAACCCTCCCTGTCAGCTGCTGAAATATTCACAAGAAAGCACTTAAAGGATTAAGAAAGAAGGAGAATGAGCTTCATTATCCAAGAATTGTGCTGGGCCTCATCTCCCCTCTTTGCACATGCATGGGATGCCCATAACTCTGGGAGGATCTTTGCCTCCAGGCTGGAGATTTCTGTGAGCACAGAAAGGGGGAAAAAAATTCCCATTTAAAAAAAAAAAAAAAAGGAAAAACTTCTAAACAACAGAGTAACAGAGACACATTAAAGACAGCCATGAGCACCATTTTAAGAGAGGAGGGATGCAGAACACAGAGTTGGAACAGAAAATAAAATTATAAACATTTATTTATAATAAAAAATTACTTATAATAAAATTATTTATAATAACAAAAGTATTTATAATAAAATTATTTATAAGAATGCTATTTATAAAAATTCTGTAATAAAATTATTTAGAGCAACAGTATTTAAAATAAAATTATATATAATAATAGAAAGTATTTAATAATTTATATTATATAAAATATATATTAAATAATACTGTATAATATGATTTAATAAAAATATTTTATTATTATAAATATCTTTATTACAAATATGAGAAAATGTTTGTAATAAAATATTTATAATAACAAAAATATTTTTCACCTGGGGGCCACCAGGCTGTTTGGAGGGTTTGTTGGGAGAAAGCTCCAGAAAAGCTGGGAGCTGGAGCCAGTCCTGCAGGAAAAGGGGAGATGAGAGAGCAGCTCAGCCACAGAAAGGACGTGGTTTTTGATGGGAACCTTTGGCTGGTTTGCTCTGCAGCAGCTGGAGGAGGGTGGGAAATGTGAGGAAGTCTCGGTGTCCCTCAAGTGTGGAGCTGCACTGGGGACCCAAAGAGCCAAAAATGTTGGGAAATCTTGAGTGCAGCAGTGCCAGATCCACCCCAGAGCTCAGCACCAACCCTGAGCACCACATCTCTGTGGCTTTTGAGCAATTCCATGGGGTGGTTTGGGGTGCAAAGACCTCAAAGCCCATCCAGGACACCTCCCACCAGCCCAGGCTGCTCCAGCTCCATCCAGCCTGGCCTTGGGATCCAGGGGCATGGACTGTTGCACCTTTCCCTAAAAATAAAAACCACCTGTGCCTGCTGCTGCCTCAGCTCGTGGGCAGAGAGCTCTGCCACTGGCAGGAGGAGAGAAATTAAAGTTTTAAAACACAACCAGCCCAATGGGGTCATTGTGACTGATGGCAGCAGCACAGGAATGGGTGAGAAAAGCTAAAAATGTGCAAAAATCCCTTTAATTCTCCTCACAAATTCACCTGAGTATGCCAAGAAATCAAAACTCTGCAATAGCTCAAGCACCAAGGGCAACAGTCACAACCCTGGGCTGAGCTGTTCTCAGTGTAAACATTCTCCAACAGAAATCTGTGTCCACATCCAGAAAATTCACACCAGTGTCACTGCCATCCTGTCACTGCCATCCCCTGCCAGGACCTGGCTTTGTGCCTCCGATTTCTCTTACACCCGGGGAGAGGCAGGAATATCCCAACATCTCCCCTGAGTGCTCACAACAGCCTCTGCAAATTCTTTTGCCTGGAGCTAATTGGAAAATTTTAATTCTTTAATCCATCACCAGCCTCAGCAAGGTAAGGGACACAAAGTTGAGACCAAACTAAACACAAAATATTCCCTGCAAGCTGAAATAAAGAAAGCTGCAGGGGAATGAACCTCTCTGCAGTGCAAGCTGCTCACCAGAGGGGCAAAAGCAGCATCACAATGCCTGAATTTGCTCCTGAGCTTCCAATCAGCCAAAAAAACTTAATTGGTTCTCCTCTGCTCTTGGAAACAGAAAATATGAGATGAGATGAGCAATGCCCATTCTGGGATAAAGCAAATACAAAATATTCACTGCAACCAAAAATAAAGCTGAAAGGGAATAAACATCCAGGTGCCTCTCTGCAATGCAAAGTGGTCATCAGAGGTGCAGCAGGTGATGCCTCAGGCTTCGATTTTCTATTTTTCACATTCTGTGCTGCTTTAGTAGGTGGGTCTGAGCTTCACATGAGGGCATGGTGAGCTCTGTGCACAGAGCACAATTGTCTAAAACAATTCCTGCTCCAGCTGGGCACCAAGGACAAATGATCCAAATCTCAGCCCAAGAGCACAAACACCGTGGGCTGGAGAGAGAAAAACAAGGATGGGACTTCATAACATAAAGATGTAATTGGACAATGAACTGCAAGATGCAAATGGAGCAGAACTTATAAAAATGTGAGATCTCATGACCAAGCTCTCCTTTGCTCCCATCTTGGAGCCACCTGGGTGCCCTTCAATAAATCTCCATTTTATTCCCCTTAACTCCATCTGGCCTCTGTTCCAGCTCCTTCAGGCACCCCAGGGGACAGCTCAGGGTGTCCCCCTTGCTTTGGAATTTACAATAAAATGCAATGTCCCACCTACCTTGGTCAGCTCCTGGGCGTTGGCCAGGTTGTCCACAGCGATGGCCAAGAACACGTTCAGGAGAGTATCTGTGGGAGCAGCTAAGGAAAAGCTCTTCACACAGCACAGGAGCAATCGTTCCCTCCCTGCTGCCCCTTTTTCCCTCCTCAGTTTTTTATGGATTGATCTCTGGAAGCTTTGCCACCATTCCCAGCTCACCCACCCTGCCCAGAGCTGGCCCTGCAGGGCTGGACACACATTTGTGTCCCCAGCACCTGTCTGCAGAGGGGACAGGACCTGAGGGGTGCCACCCCATCAGAGGGGCAGGGTGGGACCTCCTGCTGCCCCCAGAGGCACCACAGCCCCTGGTTCTCCACCCCTCCAGCCCACAAATGCAGGTTTCGGCCTCATTTTCCCCTCACGCAGATTTCAGCCTCATTTTCCCCTCATGCAGATTTCAGCCTCATTTCCCCCTCTTGTTTAAAAGCACAACCACTGGAGCTGCAGGAAATGGGTCATTTTAAGCCAACATTTACATTTTTATACACACACAGCTGTATAAAGTCATGGAAAACATGGAGAAGTGAATCTCAGGTCGTTGCTGCTGGGAGGAAACCATCCTGGCTTATCTCACTGGGGTCAGGGTGGCAATGGGGCACCCCAGACCTGCCCCAGAGCAGCACACCCAGCCCCATTCATGAGCTCTGCTGATAAAACAGCCCCTAAGCCCAGCCCAGAGCCCAGCCAAGCCAGGGCAGAGCCCAACCCAGGCCTCTCAGCAGAGCTCTGCATCCCATCCCTGAGACACAACACTGGCCTGGAATTATTTATTCCTCTTTTACTTTCATTTTTCCACTTCATGATTTCAGCTTTTGCTGAGTTTATTGTTGTTATTCCTGCAAAACAGCCCCAGAGCAGCCATAAATCAGCTGCCTTTGCATAGGGAAGGAGGGCAAGCAAAGCAAGGAGAAAATGTGTTTGGCTCTTGCACATCACCTGGGGACAGGAGAGTCACTCACTGCAGAGCTCTGTTTGCTCCTCCAGGTAGGAATGTGCACGGGAATGGTTTATAAACCCACTGAAAGGACTGCAGGAGATTTAGGAAATTAATCCAGGTGTTTGCAGGAGGCTCCAGGAGAGCTGGAGAAGGACAGGGATGGAGGGACAGGACACAGGGAATGGCTCCCACGGCCAGGGGGTAAAGTTTTGAGGGATTTGGGGAAGGAATTCCAACAGTCTGGAAACACTTCCAAGCCTCCTATCAGGGAATAAGTGTCCCAGAAGTAAAACTGCCTCCCACACCCTCTGGAAGTGGCTCATGTAACACAGGCAACCCCTGGAAATGGAATGAATTTCTTTTTATCAGATCAGCCTGGCCTGATCCATTCCCAAGCAGACACAGTCTGGCAGACTTGGGTGTTTCTGCCCCCAAAAAGGTCCCTCAGCCCTCTCTGCAGGGATTCCCAAATTTCTCCCAAACTCCAGGCTCTTCTCTCTCCTCAGGCTGTGTAATCTGGATGAGGCAGTGCCTGGAGCCAGGAATCATCTCCTGCCTGGCACCTGAGGGCCAGGGAAGGGCAGCATCCTCCAGGCAGCTCCTGCTTTTCTTTTCAGGCTCCTCTGCAGTTTTTCTTGGAGTTTTTTTTCTTTTCCTTCTTTTTTATTGCCTCAACAGATGCCTCAATTTATCAATTAAGTGGATAACAGTGAGCCCAGGCATGGTGTAATTTCCTGGAAAATGGGCCAAATCCTGTTGTTACTTTAATCATAAAACTTTCATTAAACCATTTCTGGTTCCACACAGACTCTCTGGAAATGGAAATGTAACATGAGACACTTCCCACTTAGAAAAACAAACTTTTCCTTGCTGTGATCCATTGAAAAAGCAAATTATTCTCTCTCTCTCTGTGCTCACAGAGCCTCACCTGCAGCAAACTCATCCCAACCTGCAGGACTGAGGGAGGATCAAAAAATCCCACCTGGCACATCCTTCCTTCCTCAACGCCCCAGTGATGTCCCAAGGAGCTCAAGGAGCCACCAGCACGGGGCTGTGGGCAAAGGGCATGGCAGAGGCACTGGAGATGTCTGGAGGAACTCAGGAAAAAGAGCCCTCGATCACCTCAGCTGCAGAAGGGAAAACAAGAGAGCTGCACCTGATGAGATTTAGGGAGAAGGTGGGTTGTTGGGGAATATGAAATAGGGAAGCCTTATAAATTTGATTGCCTGGCAAAAGATTTTGAGATTATAGAAACTATAGGTGAGATTGAAATGAAAGCAAGCTCTGAGATACCTCAGTTACTGAACAACTGGAAAACAATGGTGTGCCCAGCTGAAGGTAATCCCCTTTTGATGGAACAACACCTTTTGCTTGCAGACAGGCCCAAGGGTCAGAGCAGACCCTGGAGCTTGGCAGAAGGGGCCTAAAGAGGAGTTTTTAGGGTTTAAAATGTAACACAGGACGGTAATGTAGTGATTCTTACAGGCTTTATGTAAATGCCATAGGATTTGTATCTTGTACTGGATTGGTTAGTGAGAATCAGAATCTTGAACACAGAAAAAGATTTATTGTATTGTAATGGGAACCTCGCACTCTTACCCCTTTTACTCTCTCACCCTCCCATCCTCTCTCCCCCTCTCTTCTCTCATTCCTGCTCTGAGCTGTGTTTGGCAGCTCCCAGCAGGGCCCTGCACCCAGGCCCTTTGCAATAAACCCCAAGTTCCAGACCTGGCTCCAGAGATCTCTCGTCTCCATCCATCCCGACCATCCTACCCCCCGATGCTCCTACAGTGGGTGAGGTTCTCACCCTCCAAATCCCAAATCCATGGCAGGGGCAGGAGATCCCCTCCTCTTGAACATGACCTGCTCAGCAGGGAGAAGTCCCCTCTGAAGTAAAGGTGAGGAAGGGAATTCACGCCCCGCTCCTCAGGAACGCTGGGGCTCAGCAGCTCACAGGTGAAACATCCCTCCCTCAGCTGTGCTGTCAAGCCTGATTACAGCTTAATCCCATTTCCAAATGCCAAGCCCAAAGGATTTAGAGCTCTCCCTCCCTCCCTGCTCTCCTCTGACCCAGTTTTGCAGAGCCTGGTGTTTCTGGAAGGGCCGTGCTGGCTGCTGTGAGGAGATGTCTGAGCATCACTGCCACGGCTCCTCCAGGAATGGGATAAATCCTTGGGGACACTCGTGTGACAGGCACAGCTCCCACTGCCTGCTCTGCTCTTCCTGTCCCTGCTCCTCATCCTGCAGGACAGAGTTCCAGCCAAGCCAAAGGGCTGGAGCACTGCTGTGCCACCCATGGGCACCAATGTCATCGATGGCACCTTCTGTCCCCTCCACTCCAGCTGGAGCAGCCCATTTCTGCAGGAACTCTTTCCTGAGCCCCATTATTTCCCCCAGTTCATCCCTCCCCTTCTCCTGCATCTCCAGCCCAAACAAGACTCCAAGGAAAAGAGGAATGCTGGGACAGTCCTAGAGGATCATGACAGCGGGCAGGACAGTGGTACCAAGGATGGAAGGATACAGTTACCAAACAGCGTGAGCACGATGAAGTAGATGGAGGAGAACATTCCGGAATGGACGCCGCCCTGCGACTCTATCCCGTGGTACATCACAGC